CTCCTAGCAACCCAAATTGCACCTGACTCCCCAAACCTGTGGGCAGAGCCACCTGTCCTAAGATCTGTTGAAGCCCAGCTGACAGATTTGAAGGCCCTCTGTGGGGCCTCAAAGCAGCACCCCAATCTTTTCCAGTGGCTCCTCTCCTCCTTTCAAGTTGACCCCCGAATACTTGGTTTCTATAACTATAATAATAGTTCTCCCACTGGATAACTTGCCCACTATCTATGCCTAATTACCATGTGGAACAATGAGGATGTGAATAGCACTAAATGTGTCAGATTCACTTTGCTTAAAGTTTCCTGTCATTACAACACCAAACTTGATTTACATACATTGAGTTTTTAACTTCTCTGGCCTTGGCTCCATGTATGTAAAATGAGGGGTGCGGATTAAATTAGTGCTTCCCCACCTGGCTGGTGCTCAGAACCACTGCTTGGCTTTTAGAAATAGAGAACTCTATCTCCTGCCCCTGATATTCTGATCTAGTAGATCTGATTTTAGGCTCCCAATTCTGCATTTTTTTTTCTTAGTTTCCAAGGTGTTAACATTGCGTCCAAGGCAAGGACTGGCATTTGGGAGACTCTGGAGTAGATCTTCTCTGGGACCCTTCCCCAAACCCATTTATTCATTCATTGATTCATTCACTGCAGAAGGGATGCTAGCAGAGATGATGAGGCTGGGAGAGGAAAGAGACAGATGTGGCAGACATTTAATCCATTTTAACAAGATTGGAATCTATCTCAAAAGCAACAGAAAGATTTTGGAGGGTTTTAAGTAGGGAAGACACCATCAGATTTTATATTAGAAACATTCTTGTACAGTGTGGAAGCTGGGCTGGAGGTGGGAGAGGAGGGAAAGGCTCACTAATCTGCCTGAGATACTGATGGTGACCTCGATTGGAGTAGGGGCGGTGAGCGGACAGATTGGTGGCACTCAGACAATAGAATGGGCAGGACTGAATTATTTTTTTTTCCTTTGGATCTGGATATAGCGGATTATTGTTGTTTCCCCTCACTGTGTGGTTCTTCCTTGGTCGGTTCAGTGAGAGGCAGATACCTCAAACTTCTACTCAAGCACTGGTGAGTCAGAGAAGCAGGGACGGCAGAGCATCCATTCTAGAGGCAGCACAAGCAGCCACAATGTTCAGTTTCCAGAAGTAGTGCAACAGAGGTCCAGGAGGATGCCAGAGTCTGGTGCCAGCAGTGGTGGCCACGCCCGCCACTGGGGCCCTGTGTTTGCCTGCAGTAATGAAGTTTTTGCTGGACTGCTGCATGGGCTTCCTTTGGTTGAAGTCCTCACAGCATCTAGCACTTTGCCCCCGCCTGTTTACCACCCTGGTTCTCTAATCTCCCCTGTGATTCTGTAAACTACTCTCTGAACTACTCTCAATGAATTACTTCTCTGCTCACACTGCCTGAATTGTTTCTTACATCCATGATTCCTCACTGATACTTAGTGTTGGAGGCAACAAGGCTGTGAGCAGCGGGGAACAGTCCTCACCTATAGGGAACACGTGCAGACAAACAGGTTGTGAGGAAAACACTCCCAGATGCTGCTGGTTGGCTTATGAGCTCAGCTCCTGATTTGCTTACTGCTCCCCCACCCACATAAAAAAAGCTTAATTTGAGCATTTCTTCATCATTGAGAGCTTTCTCCAACCTGCACAAGTCCATTCAAACCTGAGTGGTTGCATGGTCCTGCATTGGCAGACTATTGGAAAAATCCCAGTTCCATTGCTTGTTTCCATCTTCTGGAAGAGGAAGTCCTTTAATAGTCTTCCTAGTGCTCTCCAAAATTAATGATATTATCGACATTCCTGGGCTATTGGAAGTAAATGAGACTTAGTAAAAGAGTGCTTTATTACCTATAGAAAGGGCTGAAAAAATCTTAGGCCATACATACAGATTGTACAAGTGGGGGGGCCCACAAAACCCAAAATTTATTTATAAAAAGTTATGTATTTATTCTTACATGTTTAAACTTCAGTCACCTTCAAAGTACTCTCCATATGATGCAATACACCTATTGAGACGTTTTCTCCAGTACTCAAAGCAGTTTTTGAACTCATCAATTTTGATGCCTTTCAGTGCTGCTGTGCTTCTGCTGTTTTTTGTTTGACCTCTTCCACATCGGCAAAATGTTTCCCTTTCAAGACATTTTCCATCTGGGGAAACAAAAAAAAAGTCACTCAGGGCAAGACTGGGTGAATAGGGAAGGTGGGGCATGGGAGTCAAAAAAAGGGTTTTTTTGGTCAAAAACTGCTAAACACTCAGTATAGTGTGGACAGGTGTGCCCATAAATCACGCATCACAAAATGGGCAAATGCACTGAAAGAGTCTTCAAAAATAATTCACTGAGGCCAAACACAGCCTCTCACAACAGCAGCAGCTGCTACGCTGGTACAGATGGGTTCCTGAAACACTCACCCAGTGGGGGAAGCAGGTACTGCAAGAGGCCCACCCTCCAGAAGATCATGCCAGTTTTGGGGGGTTCCCACTTGTACTTCCCTAAATACAACTCCAGAAGTTATATATAAATCTATTGTTTTCTAAATTCAATCACTTTTCCACCTACTTACCCAATAATTTCCAAGATGTTTTATTTTGTTTTTACATATATCACAACTGCAGTGGCCACTGAAATCAAGGCTTATATATTTTTTGTTGTAATAAAATACACATAATTTACCACCTTAACCCTTTCTAAGTGTACAGTTAAGTGGTATTAAGCACACCCACATTTGTTGTACAACCTTCACCATCCTCCATCTCCAAAGCCTTTTCATTTTCCCAAACAAAAACTCTATACTTTCTAAATGCTGACTCCCTATTCATCCCTCCCTCCAGCCCCTGGTAACCCCACTCCACTCCACTCTCTGACTGCTCTGGGGACTTCATGTAGGTGGAATCATGCAGTATTTGTCCTTTTGTGACTGGATTATTTCACTTAGCATAAGGTCTTCAAGGTTCGTCCAGCTCACAGCATGTGACAGATTTCATTCCTTTTTAAAGCTAAATAATATTCCATTTATGTATATACCACATTTTGTTTATCCATTTATTCATCAGTGGAGACTTTGAGTGCTTCTACTTTGGCTATTATCAATAATGCTGCTATTAACATGGGTGTATAAAAAAAGGAAAAGTATATATTTTTATGATCTCTTCTGATCATGCAGTTAAATAAATTTGCAAAACTGAGCTTTATCTGGTTTGCAACTCTGAAAAATTGTATAATGGAATCTCATAAAGTGTGTCACACCTGTACTCTTTATTGTTTCAAGCTAGGAGGGTGCAAAGAACATCTACAGATGTCGATTTCACACTGACATAGAAAAGCACGCTATAGTTCACCAGTGAGGAAATCATTCTTTAAAGGCGAATTGCATGTGCAGATGTCAAAACTCTCTCCTATCTTAGTCAGAGAGAGTGCTTGATCCTCTGCCCTTTAATTAAAAGGACCCTCTCCTTCCCCACTCCTCCTTTGGGAGGACGAGCCTCACCTACCTTCAGTCCCTTTGCTAGATTATTCTGGCATGGGGTTGTGGCTCTCTTAGCAACACCAGTAACCAGAAATTCTGCAGCTCTCTAAGTCATTCTATACTCTGAGAGAAATAATAAAGTATCAAAGGACATGTTTATTTGCTTTTGCTCCACACCTCCTCTGGCTCAGGATTGCCACCTTAGGCATTCTCAGAGTTGTTTGCAAATGGGATAAGAACAAAATGCCAAAAGACAGAGGAAGATGAGAAAAGAAAAAATTCCCAGAACTTGAAAACAGGGGCTCAGTTTCCAACTGCAAAGTAGGTTTAGAAATACGGAGTTGCAACACCACATAGAGGGTGTCTGCATTTCCTTCAGCACTTCTCCGACTGACATTTTCTGTAAGAGAGGAAAATGTGCAAAATGTCTTGAGCACCAGTATGTGTTATTTGTTGTTCACACTTTAACTTCCTGATAACCCTGCTATTTGGGTCCCTATTCATAAGTTACAACTGAGGAAACTGAGGCTCAGAGACATTTGGAACTGTCTCCAGGCTGTGGAGTTTGGACTTGAACAGAGCCCTGCATGACTCCAGTGGTGCTGCTTCCCTCATGCTGCTCTGCTCCCGACCCCTCCAGTGAGGGCATGTCCCTTATATTCTGTGGAATGACTTTCAGCAGTCTGTGTCTCTCCCTCTGTGGGTGCATCAGATTTTGACAGAGGTGTGACAGGGACCCTCACACCTGTCCATGCCCCAGCCGTGCCCCACTCTCCAGCTTGGAGGCAGTTAAAGGAAGTTCTAGAATTCAGGGGTGTCCGACCCACGGCCCGTGGGCCACACGTGGCTCAGGATGTTTATGAATGCTGCCCAACACAAAATTTTAAATTTACTCAAAACATTATGAGATTTTTTTGAGATTATGTGTCACAATGTAGTTAATGTGTGGCCCAAGACAACTCTTCTTCTTCCACTGTGGCCCAGAGATGCCAAAAGTTTGGATACCCCTGTAAGATATTCCTTATTTTCTGCTGGCTCTGTTCTTTTTTTCCCTCATTTCCATGGACCAACAAAAGCCCCACCTTCCTCGACCCATCTTCTTCCCTTAACATCTATTACTAACCACTTTCAACTATAAAAAGGGTAGTAATAAAAATTTAGGTTGAGCACCAGGAAGAACTTCCTGACTCTGATGCTCTGGAACATAGAAATGAGAAACTCAAAAAGGCCCTGTGTACTCCTTTCCAGGAAAGCTCTAAGGAAAAGTCTCACCCTGCCCCCACGGAGCCTTCTTGGACCCAGTACAGCTCTGCCTGGAGTCTGGGGGAGGCACCAAATGACCTCTAGAGGGCCTTGCCAGCCCTGGAAGCAGGCGCCTCCTCTGCAGTCACCCACTGGCCACAGATGTTCCCTGTCATCAATCAGTCAGTGCATCTGTTTGCTGTGCTGCTTGTTTAAAAAGCGAGGCATTTGTTAATTGAAAACTAAAAGATCTCTTTGTTTCACTTACAGCCAGCATGAAATCCACTCAGTTATGCAAGATCAGGGTAAAAAAGGCAGTGCAGAGCCACAGTGTCCTTGGGTTGGTACACCCCATGGAGGCTGCATCTTGCTCTCTCTTCTGCCCCTTGAGTGAGCAAGGTATCTTCTTCACCTCAGAGCAGCCAGGTTACAATTTGTGTAAAACATCCTCATTTGTGATCATCAATGCAGCCAGAGAGAAGGGTATTTTTGGACCCAATTTGAAGATGGGGAATCTGAGATTAAACAATTTAGCTGAGGTCACACAACTGTTAGGTAACAGAGGCAGGATACCCATCCAAGTGCTCTGACTAGCTGGGAGAGGGGTGGCCTATCCACTGGGGGACTCTGTCCCTGGACCCATGTAGAGTTGCCGAACTGAAGGCACCAAGTCCATAAGTAGATTAAACTTTGGAAAGAATGGCCCTGGGGTAGACATAGAGGAGCCCTGGGATTTCCACTATAACTATAATGTTTTATAGCTTTAGAAGCAAATATGTCAAAATGTTAGGATTCCTAATTGTTGTAATAACTTCCTATGAAGCTTGCTGGGGGATGGGAAACAGTCCAGATCCACACAATAGTACCAAAGGCAAGGAGCAGGGGAAGAGGCATGCCAAGTCTACTTACTCCTTCTCCAGTTGCCTCCAAAAGACGGCTGTATTTGAGAGAAGTGCTGGCCTGTACAAGGGCAAATGGGGGACTGTCCAGTGCTGGATCTCTGTGGAATCTGGAAAGTCATTCCAATTCTCTGGGCCTTGGTCCCCCTTGTAGAGCAATGAAAGTGGGGATTAGATGAGTGCTAAGGTCCTCTTCAACTCTAGTTTTCTATAATTGTGTGGGTTATTGGAGGAAATACAAACTTAATCTTTGTGGCCAGGAGTGGCTTGACTCCAGCCATGATGGACAGAGTCCCTGCCAGGCAAGGTCAGTCATTTGACCTTGTATTCCCTCTGCCTGGGATGCTGTGCCACCTTCTCCCTGTGGAACTAGGCTTCTTATGACCAGCCCCTGTGAGGTCTCTTGTTTGTGCTCCACAGCATCTGTTAAAGCCACAGGTGCTGTGGTATGTTACACTATTTCCTGGAGGTCTCCATTCTGGATTGTCAGGACAAGTGCAAGGGCCTGGTTTTATTCTTCTCTGGACCCCAGAATCTGACATACAGTCCAGCAAATGGAAGAGAGTCAATAACTAATTCTTAGAGAAGGAAGGGAAGGAGAGAGGAGGGTAAGGGGAGAGAAAGATTTCTCTGCAGCTCAAAGGACCCTGGGACCCCAGCAGAGGACCCCAGCAGAAAAACCCTCACCACCGCCTCCTTCCCCCCACCCACCTCAGTTTGGAATCAAAGGTGAGCTGGAACCCCAGAAGCCCCTTTTTGAATTTTTATTTCAGGTCAAGTCCAAGCAGACTTTCCCCTGAAAGAGTCGAGCAAGAAAAGGGGGTTGATCACAGGGTTTCCAAGAGCAGAGGTCAGAAAACGGACCTTGGACTTCTCTCTCCTCCTTACCAGACTCTCTGGAGGGTGGTGGCCTCCCCTCACCCAATCCTTGTTCTCTGACTTCTCAAAGGAGGGCTCGGACAACGGTGAGATGAAGACACCTGTCAAGACATCGCTGCATAAACAAGGTGTTACTTTGAGGGTCTGGGGCGGGGGGTGGAGCCCAATGTGTAGTCCACCATTCAGTTCCCGCCTCGGATCCGACCTGCCTCAAAGCCTAGGAGGGCGGCACACTCCACCTCCACGTCGCTCCCCCAGGCTCAGACGCGCGCGGCCCTCACCCCCGCGCACAGTGGGACGAGGCGGGGCTTGCCCCAGGGGCGGGACCGCGGCGCCCCGCGGCCAGGGCGGCCCCGCCCCCCGCCCCCCCCCCTCCCCGGAGCTCCGGGCGCCGCGGTGCGGCGGAGCTGTCCAGGCTCAGAACCGGAGCCCGCCGCCCCGCTGCCGCACCGCGCCGCACGCCCGTCCCGCCGCCCGCCCCGCCCCGCCGCGGCCGACCACTGCTTCCCGCGGGCCGGAGCCGGCCGGGCGGCTGCCCGCCGGGGCTCCGAACGGCGCGGCGGGGCCGGGAGCCAGGGACCCGCCGAGGAAAGGGGCGGCCCGGACGGCTGCCGGAGGGGCGGCCGCACGTGGATGCGGCGGGTGCCGGGAGCCTCGAGCAGCCCGCGCCGTCTCCGCCCCCGGGCACCCTATGGCTTGAAGGTAAGCGCCGGCGGGACGGGGCGACGGGCGGCCGCGGGCCGAGTCAGGTCGCGGGGAGAGGAGGAGGGAGCTGGGAGGCCGGAGCTGCCCGGCCAGAAGTTTGGCCCCTCGGGCGCCGTCTGCCGGGCCGCTCCGCCGGCGGTGCGGCTCTCCGCCGCCTTTCCGTCGGGCCGCTCGCCGGGCGGGGCGGGGGGCCGCCGGGGGGGGGGACTGCGCTGCCCGGGCGGGACTCCGCGCTGCGGGCGGGCGGGCGGGCAGCCTCCCCTCGGAGCGCGGAGAGCGAGCCCCGCGGAGCCGTAGCTTCGGGGGGCGGCCCGCCCCCGGCGATCTCGGGAGGGCCCTTTCTGCCCGGCAGCAGAGCCCGGGACCCCAGGGCGCGCCGTCAGAGGTTCCGACCGCCCCGCAGGGAGAAAGGTTGTTTTTGGCAACTCTGCATTGGTGCGACCTGTGGCTTGTCCGTTTCTAAGGACCGAAGAAGCCGTGGCTTTCCTCTCCCACTTTCTAACGTGCCGCTGTCATTGGTACTGAATTTCCGTTCTCCGCCTGCACCTGTCTCCCTGTTTGAGATCCAGCCCAGGAGGGAGGCTGGGGTTTACGAAGGTGGGGGCGCTGTGGGAGAGTGGCTGTCCGGCTCTGGGTGGACCGACAGCCCCAGCAGGGCGGGGTGCTGAGGCAAGAGGCAGCTCTGAGCGCCAGACCCAGCGTGTCTGAGGCCGGCAGCCGGTGTGCGGTTCCTCTGGAAGAGCGGAGGTGAAAGGCTGTGTGTGCGTGTACACAACAGGCTTCGCCATGGACACAAGCCACAGCACAGAAAGCTCCGCGGGGACAGGTCTGTGCTCTCAGCCACAGGGAAGCTGTCTGACCGAGTCACTGTTGTGCCACCTGGCACCCCACTATTTTTTTGTGTGCCGGGGGCCCCTGAGATTGGTGAGGTACAAGACACTTTGTGGATCCCTTTCCAGTTTCTTCTGGGTCCAATCACTTCTGAATTTTTGACCAGGCCACAAACCTTTCAGGCTAATCTTCCCCAGGAGCTAGATTTTTGGATGCAAATACTGTGTATATCCCTGATTCATCCTACAGAATTAGGACCGCTTGAAAAAGAATCATTCTTCTTATCTTTCCCCCTGTTGCTGCTGTTTGATGAGGGTGGGCAGAGAGAGAGACCAGGGTAAATGTGATCAATTACAAGAGAATCAGTCAGTCGTTTGCTGGGCCCCAGCCTCCTGCCATTGACTTCTCTGCTTAGTGTTTAAAATTCCTGTATGATTGAGAGTTCATGTTATCTCTGAAATAAAACATCTGACAAGGAAGAGGTTTGAGAAGGATAAACCTAGAGCCAAGTGAGGGCAATGATGGCCCCAGCCTCTCTCTCCCCCCCCACCCATCTCTTTAAAAGATTTTATTTACTTTTAGGGAGAGGGGAAGGGAGGGAGAAAGAGAGAGAGAGAGAATCACTGATGTGAGAAACATCAATTGGTTGCCCCTTGTGTGTGCTCTGACCAGGGACACAACCCACAACCCAGGCATGTGCCCTGACTGGGAGTCCAACCAGACACCTTTCATTTTGTGGGACAATGCCCAACACACTGAGCCACACTGATCAGGGCCAGCCTTGTTCTCTCGAAGAACATCCTGAGTTCCTTCTACCTTCCCTGCACAGTCTGGGGAGGAAAGGTGTCTGTAAAATGGGGGATTCTGATTTATCGTAGAGGTCTAGGGCATTTCTTCAAGATCATTTTTTGTTTTAATCAACTCCCATCCAGATCACCGGGGAATCTGGTTAACATGCATATTTTTGGTTCTTCCCAGAACTGCTCAATGAAGATCTCAAACTGAGGCCCAGGATGTACTGTGTATTTTAATTATATTTTTGGGGTGATTCATATGTACACAGGGTTAAGAAATCACCTCTCATGAAAGTTCTGACTCCTTTGACTAGAAGGAACATGATTAAGGTCTTTCATCTACCTCCTCCTGCCTCCTGAAGTTATACATATTAAATTTTTCAGGTGTGGTACTGTTGTTGATGGAGGGACCATTCCCTGATTAAGTTCCTTTGTGGTGATAAAGTGTGCAGCTTGTTCTCCTCTCCCCCGGCATCATACTGGACATTTCTTCTTTCTGAAACAAATTTTTGACTTCTCTGAGAATCCCCAATATGACTTCAGGTTGACCTGGGTAAACACTAACTGCCCCCCTCTGGAGGGCCAACCCAGTATGTCCCTCCTACTCTCCCCTTCGGAGGGAACTGTTGGCTTTCATTTTGCATGTGCTGTGATCTGCTAACCCAACTGCTCCTGAAATACCAAGGAGTGATTAGTTCAGCTTACTAGCACATCATGTTCCCCAAGGCTGGTAGCCACTCGTGCCCTGCTGACAGTGACATATTGACTGCATTGATTTGGTCTTTGTGCTCTGTAAGCTAGGAAGCTTGTGGGGGTGAGTAAGTCTAGTAATGATGCTTGTGGGCTAGTCAGTCGTCTACCTTCATGTGCCAGGTTAAATTATTTTTGTTTAGAATATGCAATAATGCAGGCAAATCTGAATTTGAGAGAAACCATTCTGTTTTTCCTTCTATACCGGGGGAAACAAAGGGAGCTCAGGGACTTATAAAAAACATGGTCCCATATATACCTGAGATTGATCTGCTGAATTTAGACTGGTCTGAGGTCACTGTTCTCTGGGTAAACATGTGGAAGGGGAAGGCATGGGGACTTGGCCTGGAAACAGCTGTCTCCATCTCCCCTACAAAGGAAAGCCTCATTTTGGTGTTTAGGAAGCGTGACTGTGAAGAAAGCATGGACAGGGGGAGGTAGAGAATGAGAATGCTGAGACTCCCTTGAGCCACCCCTCCCAGTGACTCATATTTTCTGACTTGCTGCCCTCCATTTCTTTCTCCCTTGGAGCTTACTGTCTATGAATCTCCAGTAGTGAAAGTGTTTCAGCACCTAGGAAGGGAAAGAAGAATCAAAGTTGGGGTTTTATAATGCCAGGACCCAAAGTACCAGGTTGCATATCACAGGTCACAGTAACCTAAGATTTGAGGTCTTGAAAATAACATTGAATGGCTGCCCAGTCAGTCTCATTTCCTCTGGACATCTTTGTTACCTTAGATTATTGGGTTCCTCAGAGGACATTCTAGATACCCCAGACTCAAAACTGGAAAGCTTTTCCTTTAGTTCAGAAATAAGGTAGTCTCTCTCCTGTTGTTAAAGTTTTCCCAGAAAAGGAGTAGTGTAAGCTGTCTGGTTCTAGCACCAGGATTGGGCTGAACAATCAAAGCTTCTCTATCTCTAGGAGCTCTGCTCAGCAAGAGTTTTCTGCATCTAGGAAGTGCTTAGAAAGCACATACAGCAGGAAGGGCACAGTTTGGTTCAGCTTCTCAGCAGACAGCCTCCTCTGGGTGTGGTCACTCATTTACCTGAACCCCAGCATGACATTTCTCTCCCTTCCCCTCATTAGGGCATCTAATGGCCCTAGGAGGACTCAGTGATCTGGTTTTGGTATTATGTATAAACCCTCCAGCTCTCCAGGATACTATGTGGAGCCACTAAAGGTGTGCAAGTTGCTTATTTACCAATTCTGGGTGGTAGATGGACATCTCCAGCCTTTTAAATTACTCTAAAAATGTTGGAATCCAGTATTAATACACCCTGCCTCTCACCTGTCGCCATTGCCATCATCAATGTAATTGAAGATTTAAAAAAATTTTAAACAATAGAATCACACCATGTAAATGCACAGGCTTGGAAAATAGCTCGATTATAGTGTCAGTAATGTGGGTGAAGGAGCAGAACTACAAGATTTAGCTTTTTGGTTTGTTTCTGTTTTGGTCCAGAAAAAGGAGAGAAACTTGTCCTTCTGGTCTGCACGTATTCCCTCTCTTTCTCCTTTCACCTTGATTTGGTAAATGGGTTAAATCCACACCCTTGACAGCTGGGATGTCCCCTGGGAGGGCACACAGCCTCCTCTCTTCCTGATAGATATGGAAATATTTCTCTGTGGAGGAGCAGAAGCCCCTGCTGGCTCCAGTGTACAGGAAAGAGCCAGAGGTGACACACTGAGGACTCCCCCAGCCCCTGGATGGAAGAGGCTGCACTAGGGCAGTGTCCCAAAGTCTGAAACCTGGAGTCACCTGGGGCATCTGGGAGAGTGTAGGGCAGTGTATGGGGGTGGGAACTGAAGAAAGGTGGACTCAGGGAGGTCCTCAGAAGAGGCTGATGTTAGAGATGCACATGTAAGGCATTGGCTTAGTGCAGTTTGGGTTATTTTGTCATAATCTGATGGTGTCTGTAGGGATCTTTACTTTTTCCAGGAGGAGATGGGGAAGTCTTTGCTGTCTGCTGTGGTAGGGAGGGGATGGAGGGAGGACCCTGACTTTCCTGGGAGCCCTCTTAATGATGTCAGCCTGCTTCCAGATACAGGATGGTGAGTGAAGTCAGGCAGTGTCAGCCCCCAGGGCTCTGTCAATAGGCCCACACCAGCCTGGCAGACATGCACTCTAGGGCACTGGAACTCAGTATGCAGCTCAAATGTGCAGAACAGCAGCCACAGCCCCAAGGACACTCCTCTGTGCAGGTCTGGGAGCCAAAGT